GTCCTGCTGGGCCTTGTCATTCCTCTGGCTGGCACAGCACCCGGGATTCTGCCGTGGTAAGCGTGGTTGTGCCCAGCTCTGTCTCTCCCCTCCTTGAACATAAAACACTGGGCACTTCTAGCTAGGCAAGTGTGCCAATCCAGGAAGCACAAACCCCTGGCTCCCTCCAGGTTTGCACAGAACCTACACTCTCTTTGCTAAAACAACCAGCCTCTCTCGGCAGAGAGAAGGCCTGCCTTCTGCTTATGCAAAATGTTTGACTCCCTGCTTCTGACAGGCCCCAGGCTCATCAAATTCTACTAAATGTCACTTTAGTAGAATAAATAAATCCTTGCATGACTTTCTCAATTATAATTAATACTTATAAGCAGTGATCCCTCATATAAAGTCCTGACTGTGTGCCAGGCACTGTGTTGGACACTTTTTTGTGAATCCCCTCATTCAATATTTCTGAAAACTCCTTCGACTTTTCACTCTCCCCATTTCACAGATGAGAAAACTGAGTTGCACCCAGGCTAAGTAACATGCCCAGTGGAAGGGGGCAGAGCCAGGTCTCAAACCAGCGTCTTCCTGACCCCATGCCTTTCCCTGTGGCTTTGTAGTTGGGGTCTGGCTCTATCTGTGTCCCCCTTCTGCCCTGTGCCCTCCTCGTTCTAGGCTGAGGCTGGTGATGAGCACCAGCTTGGCTTCTTTTTTATAAAATGCCTTTGTCTGCCATGGGCACTGGGTAGGTGGGCCAGGACACCAAGTGTGCGTGTGTGTGTGTGTGTGTGTGTGTGTGTGTGTGTGTGAGAGAGAGAGAGAGAGAGAGAGAGAATGAGAGAGCGAGCGGACTGTCCACGTGAAGCAGTGCCTTGGAGACTCTCTTGATGATTTTAAGTTAGAAAAGTTTCCTCTGTATCCCAGGTCAGCTTCTGACTGCAGTCCCAGGCTGTGTGGGGCCCTTTCAAGCTTCATGAGGAGCTGGATGGCTGAGTGGGCATGTATCTGAGACTCAGCTAGGCCCTACCTCGTTACTGACAGGAAGCCCCGTGTATCAGTCAGCTCAAGCTGCCATAACAAAATTTCATAGCCTGGGTGGTTTAAACAACAGACATTTATTTCTCACAGTTCTGGAGGCTGGGAAGTCTGAGATCAAGGTGCTGGCAGATTCGGTTTCTGGTGAGAACCCTCCACCTGGCTGGCAGATGGCCACCTTCTGGCTGTGTCCCCAGATGTCCCCTTCTGGCTGTGTCTCTGGCTGTGGCAGAGAAAGGCAGGCTCTGGTGTCTCTTCCTCTCTTATCAGGACACTAATCCCATCCTGGGGCCCCCGACCTCCTGGCCTCATCTATCACCTCCCAAGAGCCCCGTCTGCTAATACCATCACACTGGGGCGTAGGGCCTCAGCCTATGAATGTGGGGGGGGGGACACATTTCAGTCCACAGGACGCTCTTAGACTTCCACCATCCCCCACCTGTCCTGGTGACCTCGGGGTGGCCGCAGACTTCCCAGGGTCACCGAGGCGGCTTGGCCAGGGCCCAGGCGAGGCCGGCAGCCTGTGGAGGTAGAGCTGCTCTCCCGTCTGTCCTCTGTTCTCTGTCGGCTTTAGTTGTCGTCCACCCCCCACCCCTCCCCCAGCTCGAAGGGCTCCAGGGGACCCGGCAGGCCTCCGTACTCCCAGCCGTACAGTGTGGCTGGCGGGGGTCACCTCCTCCCAGGGGAGGCTCTGCACTTGAGAAGAGTCCCTGGTGACAGGGCAGACCCGCCAAGCGGCAGGCTCTTCCCTTGTCAGGACGACAGTGGGGAGAAAGAGGAAGAGGGTGACATTCTAGTTAGAAAGAGAACATACGCCAGGAAGACACTGAAGGCACCACCTGAACCAGTTCAAGTTTGACACGGGTCCACAATCCCTTACGTGTAACTCTCATATCCAAAGGTCTCTAGACACTAGAAGTTTTTCTTCATGGCCTGGGTAGCAACAAACGGCTTGAGCTGATGGGATGCAGCACGTGACACCTGTATTTATTCCACGCGGAGTCCGTGTCCCCGTGTCCTGTGCTGTGGTTTCCACGGGGCCAGCCGTGGAGCTGGGCCCTGGCCACCGACTTCCACTGGACCCCACGGGGGCGTGCGTGCACCAGCCTGCAGTCAGGTGCGCCTGGGCATCGGATGGGCCGCTTCAAAGGCAACATGTGAAGAGCAGAAGCGGGATGCTTTAATCTCCTGGGCATCGTTTTCCAGATAAAGAAAAAAACCCAGAGGTGTCGAGTCGAATGTCGAACGCCGTCCATCCCACACCAGCTCTGGGGATTTCCAGGAGGGTGACAGTTCGGCTTCCCGGCACTTTCTGCTTTGGCCAGGGTGAGGCCATCATCACGGCCTCAGATGGGGTCAGGGGCTGAGCGTCTTTATAAAACGGGGGGACCTGGACTCCGAGGGAAGACCATGAAGGGACACTGGGGAGGCCCAGAGCTGCCCAGGGCTCCCCGAAGCTGGAAGAAGCAGGTGGGGTCCTCCTCCTACAGGTTCAGAGGGAGCCCGGCCCTGCCGACCCCTGGATTTGGGACTTCTTTCCTACAGGCTTGGGTGATAAAGTTTGGTGCTAAGCCACCCATTTTGTTACAACAGCCACAGGAAAGTCATGCAAGGGAGCTCCCCAAAGCCGGCCCCCGGGGACCCCGGCAGCAGCTGGGAGACCCGTGAGATGTCCAGGGGCTTGCTTCCTCTCTCCTCTCCTCTCAGCTCGCTTGGCGTGGGGTGGCAAAAAAAGCTCAGGTAGGGGCAAAAGAAAAAAGAGGGGGCCCCCACTGCGTCCTGCTTTGGTCTGGGCGTCCGTGTGCCAATCCAGAAGTGGAACCGCATTGCTCTGCGAAGGGGAGTTTCTGACCAGTCACGGCCGAGCCGGCTGGGTGCTGGGCCTGCCTGGGCGTGCCTGGGCCTGCCTGGGCCTGCCTGGCTCAGGGTGGATGTCCGCATCTCTTGGGCATCGCGTCTTTGCAGGCTTAGTGATAATTACTCGATGTTTCCACTGATGACTGGGCAGCTTCTCGGAGGGGAGAGGGGTTAGCTCTGAAAGCAGATTCCCAGGCAACTCCATTTGGTTCTGGGGCTCCTCTGTAGGCTTTGCTCAGAGCCAGACCCCGTGAGAACCCCACCAAGTAGAAGAAACTAGTTCTTTGCAGATGACTGGGTTCTGAGAAGCAGCCTGGAGCCAAGCCACAGCCCCCTGACCCGCATGACAAAAGCAAAGGTGGCCCCCGGGTGATGCCTGCCTGTGCTGGGAGCCTCCCGACCGGCCGGGCCCTGAGCAGCCTCCCTGCTCCCGTCTCACTCATTCCCCACAGGACAGGGCTCAAGGGGGGCGGAACACAGGAGTTGGAACCCCCTTGGTGTGTCTGGCCCTTGGAATGTCCACCTGGAAGCTCCGCCTCCAGGCCCCCGCCCCACGTGACCTGGCCCTCCTTCCCGCCTCCCACCCCCAGAGTCAGGCAAATAATTCTCCCCTTCAGGCCCCAAATGCGGATGTGATGTTGGCACTTTCTTTTGGAAGAGGACAAAGCTTGAGCCGGGCGGGGGAACTGGGCTTCTGAGCGGGCGTCCGGTGGGCAGAGCCAAGCCCCTCAGGATGGCCAAAGGACAGACCTGAGACGCCAAAAGTCGGCCAGGAGTGCCCTCCTCCATCAGAGCAGCGGAGACTGACCTGCACTGGGGCCCGTCATCCCGCCTGTCTCCTCTGAAGCCCAGGGCAGGGCCCTGGGTTGTCCCCTCTATGACTTTTGGGCAGGTCTGACAAGCCCAACCACAACTTCCATCCCAGGATGCATGCTCCTGGAGGTCCTAAATGGCCAGTGGAGGGAGGCAGGAAAAAGAGAGGTGCTAATCCAAAACCATCCTGGTGACCAGCACAGCTCCCAGAGCAGGAAAAGGACTTGGCCTCTTGGTTCCCGATTTAACGTTTCCCAACAGGTAATAGCACAGGCCTAAGATCTCACTCCCTGGCTTTCTTCCTTCCAAACCCCCACCTGTGAAGGAGGGTGCTCCCTGACCTTGGGTTTTCTCCACAGCCCTTCTTTCCTCTCTCCGCCTACCCCCTCCTCCACCACTCTGTCTGGATCTCATCTAAACCCATGTTTTTCAGCCCTGACATGCCACTGTCTTCCCATAATCCTCTCTGTGAGCTCCAGACACACAGAGCCAAGGTACCAGGTCCGTCCCCTTCAAACTCAGCATGTCCAAAGTCAACCTCGTGATAGCCCCCAGCCCACTTCTACCTCCATTCTCTCAGGAGGCAGCTCTGACCCATTAGCTCCTTGCGCACAATCCTTTGATGGCTCCCTTTTGCTTTAACTAAAGTCCAACTTCTAGCTGAGCCCTCAGTCGGGCTTCCACAGACTTTTCTAGCTTCTGTTCCCGCCCTTACCCACATGCAGTGGTAGGTTACTGCATGTGATACACTGATACACCATTGGTGGTGGTAGGTTACTTGTTAAAATGCCTGGGGGTGCTACAGGCAGTTAATGCTCAGCTCAGAGTCCAGGGGTGCTAAACATCCTGTCCTTGGAGGTGCAGGACACCCAGAAGAAGGCTTCCCCTGCCCCACACCCACTGCCCAGCGCCAAGTCACACCATGTTTCCCGAAGGCTCAGGCGCTCATGCTCCCCCGGGCCTCTAAAGCCCCTCTGTCTGGCACGCCCTTCCCTAGCTTCTTCATCTGGCTCGCTCCCATCTGTTCTCTACATCTGCCCTGTATCCCTTCTGGGGACTATGTTCTAATCAGCAGCCTGGCTCAGATATGCCACCGGGGTCCCCACATCCCAATGGGAGAAGTGTTTGGGGCCATGAGGGGCAGGAACTGTGACTCTCCTGCTGGCCCCTCACCATCATGTGAGCTCCTTGAGGGCAGGGTCCAGGCCCACAGAAGGGCCCTGGGAAAAGAGTGAGTGACCCAAGTGTTAGCTTTTCAGGGACTGCCCCCGTCCTCCATCAAGAAAGGGGAGTCTACCTGCTTCTTTCTGCAGGAGCTGTCCAAGCTGGGCCTGAACAGTGACGTGGAGGTGGAGCTGCAGATTCTTCAGCTACCTGTAGATTACAGGGAGGTGAAGCAGAGGGTCACCAGAATTTGGGAAGACCTTCAACCGCAAGTAAATGATGGCTGGGGAGGCAGTGAAGGTGGGGGTGGGGTGGGTGGGGAAGATGACGAGGTGGAGCCCCAGAGCCTGTGGACCCCCGGGCCCTGGTTCTAGGGTTGATGGCTGAGGTGCACCCTGGTCCCGTGTCCCACCGGTAAGGTCCCAGCCAATCTTCTAAGGTTCTGGGTCTGTTTGTAAAAGTTTAAGCTGAAACCCAGAGTGGATCTTGGAAGAAGATTCTGGAGAGAGAGAAGGAGGAAAAGAAATGGAATCTTTATTCCTCGCCAGGACTCAGAGATAGTTTCCACCCAACGGATAGGCCCTTGGGTTAGGTCCCAGCCATGGCCCTGCAGGGCAGGTTGCCTGTGAGGTGAAGCGAGAAAGGACCTTTTGGGCCTGGCAGGGCGGTTGGCGGGTAGCCCGTCTGGAGAGGTCCCATCTTCATCACACCCAGCCTTTTTTTATCTGAACAGAGTCATTATATAAAAAAACTGGTACAAATGTCCAAAAACTAGGAAGACCAGATGATGAGATTAACACAACACACACCACCATGCCACTAAGACAACTGTCCCAGGGGTTTTGATAATATGCTCCACGGCTATTTTGTCAAAGAGGAAAAACAATCAGCTCAAAAAATCCTAGCAATATTTTATCATATTGTTACTCACTTCCTTTATTAGAGTTTCATACAAGAGAGGGAAGATTCCCCAGAAATGCTAAGCTGCTCCCGTGCTAGTCTTAGCTACCAGGGGACCCCCCAGGGAAAAGAAGGGGAATACATTACCCCGCAAGGATATTTGCCCCTATAAAACTGGTTAAATTAAATGCCACATGGGTTTCCATCCAGTTGTTTTTCATTCCCGCACATTCATTCGGGGAGGTTAGCGGGGAAGCCCGGAGGTTGCGTGCCAGATCTGGGCTTTGCGATGCTTTGAACCCTGTGCTCGCGCTGGGCTTGGCCCTTCAGCCACATCCGCGGAGCAGAGCAGGCCTCAGTTTCCCTAATCTCTCGGCCGCCGCGTGTGCGGACGCAGCTCGCTGTGCACATCGGCCTGGACGCCTCCGCCAAGGCCATCGTTCTGGAGCAGTGCGCCAAGAACCGGGGCTACCGGGACGCGGACATCCGGGGCTTCCGGCCGGCGCGCGGCGAGTGCCTTCCGGATGGCCCGGAAGTGATTGCGTCGGAGGTCAGCATGAAGGCGGTGAGCGAGCGCGTGGCCGTGGAGGGCGTGGAGGTGACCTTTTCTCGAGATGCGGGCAGGTACGTCCCACGGGTGTCGGGGGTAGAGGCGGGGGAACGACCGCAGCGCCTCCTCCGACCGGGGTCTCTCCCCAGATGCCCCCCTTCTGCACCGGGAGGCCATCCTCTGCGGTCCGCCTGGGCACTTGCTCACGCCGTGGCGCCCCAGGGCGGCTCCTGTAGATGTCGCCCCCGCCCCCCGCCCCACCCCCACCCCGCCCCACCCGGCCCTTGGTGCGTGCATAGAGGAGAAGAGATGGGAAGGCATGTTTTGAGAGCCACTAACGTTTTGTGCATGCTTTGTTTTTCTTTATTGCGGCCCAAGTTGTGAGTTAACTATTCCGATGTCGCCCCACATAGAGATGAATTTACCTTGGTTCCTCCAAACTCCGACCGCCAGTAGGTAGTTTCTCCCCACCCCCGCCCCAAGAAGGAATGAACAAGTGGCTCAGTAGACATGAATGAGAGGGGTTTGGGGTGTAAAGGTGTTTTGGACTAGTTGCTTGAAAATCTGGTCCCTTTCCAGGCTCTGCTGCTTGCGGATTGTGGGACCGTGAGACCAAGAACCAGTCCCTCCCCGGTCCATTCCCAGCAACTCTTCTTTCTGAGGCAGAAGAACAAAACCTCAGTCTCCCTGGGTGGCAGTCCAACTTCCTCATGCTTTGGGGATGCTGCATTATCCCTTTTGCTTCCATTTCCCTGGGGTTAGAGGCTCTTCCAGGGAGTAGTAACACGGCATTTCATGTGGTTGCAGATATGTCTGCGATTACACCTACTACCTGTCTTTGCATCATGGAAGTGGGTCCGCGGCACTCATCCACGTGCCTCCATTATCCCGTTGGCTCCCAGCCAGGCTGCTGGGAAAAGCCCTGCAAGTCATCATCCAGGACATGCTGGAAGAGCTGAGAAAGCCTGAGCTCAAAGCCTCGTTCGCAGAAAACTCAACCGCCGTGCTTCCAGACCGGGGGAACCAATTGGGGGACTGCTCCTTTGGAGAAAATTAAATGTTTCAATCCTGTGTGCAGAGTTCAACTGTGCTTTGAGAGACTTTTAAAAAATGGCTTGTAAAACAGTTTACACAGAGGGAAAAAAGCTCTGAATTAGCCCAACGAAATCACAAAGGGTTATTTTATTGTCAGAAGAAAGAACACTCTGAAAGGCAGACATTTCACAAGGGATTAACTAGCTTCAGTTATGGTTTTCATGACAATAAAATGAAATCCTAGTAATTTTTTTTTTTTTTTTTCTCTTAAAAAGACCGTGCAGGGCCTGTGGGATCCTGCCCGGATTGCTAAGACCGCAGACCTGTTGGGCAGAGCTGCCTGTGATGGGTTGATCTATGACCAGGGGGAAACCGGCAGAGCGGCCGCTCGGTACCCCTCCCTGGCCTCCACCCTCATGCATCCAGGTGCTGCGTGCAGCTTCTGACCCCTGAGTCTCTAGTGTTTGGTTTTTATTTTTCTACTCTTTTCTAAAAATTGTGTATAATACACATAACATAAAATTTACCCTTTTAACCATTTTTCAGTGTTTGTGGGCATTCACTTGTTGTGCAGTCATCACCACCATCTATCTCTAGAGCTTTCTCAACATCCCAAACTGAAACTCTGTCCCCATTAAACTACAGCCCGCCTCCTTCCCCTAGCCCTTGGCCACCATCATTCCACCCTCCATCTCTGAACTTGACTACTCTAAGGACCTCATATAAATGAATCACGCTATTTGTCCTTTTGTGACTGGCTTACTAGTTCACAGAGCATAATGTCTTCGAGGTTCATCCATGTTGTAGCGTGTGTCAGAATTTCGTTTTTTTAGACGGAGGACTATTTCGTTGTATGCGTAGACCACATTTAGTTTATCCAGTCATCCTCTGATGGACACTGGGTTGCAAAAAAAATAGGTCAAAGCCCCCAGTTGCAGTTGTTTTGTTTCTATACCTAAAAGGGGAATTGCTGGATTATAAGGTGTTCCTACGTTCAAGGTTCTGAGGGTCCGCCATACTGTTTTCCATGGCAGTTTCCCTATTTTATATTCCCAGTGGTAGTGTTTGGTCTTCAAGCAAAGGATCATAGCTGGGCTTGGCTTCTCTGCCATGTTGGGTGTTACCGCTACTTTGTAGAAGCAGAATCTCCCCTTTTCAGCTATCATGTTGCCTTTGGACAAGCACTGCACTGGTTCCTGTGCCAAGCTGCTCAAAGCCAGGTTTTGCTTGTCTCGTGTTTTCTGCGGCAAATATGCATGGAGATACACTGGTTTTCGGAGGAAGGGGTTGACGGTGGCAGTGGCTAAGCTCTGGGAAATTTGTTAAGGTGCTGTGCTCACAGCTATCACTTTCACTTAATTACATTGTATTTTTTTTATTTTTTTAAGATTTTATTTATTTGTGAGAGAGACAATGAGAGACAGAGAACATGAGAGGGAGGAGGGTCAGAGGGAGAAGCAGACTCCCTGCTGAGCAGGGAGCCCAATGTGGGACTCGATCCCGGGACTCCAGGATCATGACCTGAGCCGAAGGCAGTCGCTTAACCAACTGAGCCACCCAGGCGCCCCCTAGCTTTTCTTTTTTAAAAGATTTATTGGGGCACCTGGGTGGCTCAGATGGTTAAGCGTCTGCCTTCGGCTCAGGTCATGATCCCGGGGTTCTGGGATCGAGCCCCACATCGGGCTCCCTGCGCTGCGGGAAGCCTGCTTCTCCCTCTCCCACTCCCCCTGCTTGTGTTCCTTCTCTTGCCGTCTCTCTCTGTCAAATAAATAAATCTTAAAAAAAAAAAAAAATGGCATTGTTTACTTAGTGTCCAGATTCTTTCAGTAGGAAGGAAAAGCATTTGCAACTTAATAACAGAGGAAACGGGCAGGCCTTGCTGGGTTTATCAATGGCTCTCCAGCATACCTGAGCCTTTGGTACAGACTCTACAGGACCCCTTTTGCAAAGGAAACTGGCTTACTTGACATAAAACAGATCAGAGTCACATTGGAGCTGATCAGAGCCAGCCCGGTGGGGTGGGGTGGGATGGCCCACGTTAGGTCCGGCTGCAGGGTTGTTAACGCAGAGATCCTTCTGTATTTGAAGGCAAACAGCTGCTGCCCAGAGCCCTGTCCCCCTCCCCCACTGGAGCTTCTGTCTCAGGCCAGGGGCAGGCAGGGGGCCTCAGGACCCTGCTTCAGGGTTATTTCAAGCCATACCCATTTTACAAACTTTTAGATGTCATCCCGTGAGGAGGCCCGAGCTCCCTCTTGATGAACGTCTCCATCATCTCTCCCTGCGTGACCTGCGGTGTTCGCCTCCCGGTCTAGGCGGCCTGCCGTCCCCTGTGCACACGTACTGGGGCCTGTTTCCCTGTGGCTGACACGCGGGGGGCCGGAGTCAACAGGTTGAACTCTGGGTTGGTCGCTTAATAGTTGGGGGGGGGGTCTCAGGCATGTCTGTGTGTTTGCTCATCTATAACAAAAGCCCTTCCTTTGCAGAGCTGTGAACACGCGCTGAGCGGATGTGCGAGTCGGTCAGCGATGAGCGCGTGCGGGGCAAACCCACACCTTCCTGAGTCCCGGCTGCTGGCTGCACCTGTGAGGGCAGAGGCAGACACAGCCCGGCCGGCTCTGTGGTCTCGGAGTGGCACGGGGGGTGGGGGGGGCGCACTGGCCTCTGCGACCACCCAGCACCTCCATCCCGAGAAGAAAGTGCTGTAGCTTCCAGCGGAGGACAGGTGCCCAGTGCGGCGCGGCACCCCACCGGCCGCCCGCACGCCCGTCTGAGCCTCCGAAATGAGCCTTGAGCCTGCCCGGAGTCGTCAGTCGTCCAGTGACAGTCGAGGTCCAGTGCCAGCCACCGCGTGACGATGGTGAGCACAAACCCCGGGGCAACACCAAGAGCTTGCGAGAGTCCTCTCCCTTAGAAAGGCCTTTTGTTTTTAGGTCCAAGTATTTGTGAGGCTCACCAGATCTTAAATAACTGTGGCCTTTGATTTACTTCCCCCGCCCACACCTTGCTCTTCAGCCCTTTATACGGTGGCCTGACTTTGTTCCAGGAGTAGAGTTTCCTGTGATCAAAGTTCAGTGAAACGGTCAGCTTGCCCTCCCGATGTGTCTGTGCATCTCTGGTCTGATTCCAGAACACTTACAGCTTGTTTCCTTTGAACATATATTCACATTTCACATTTCTTACTATGGCCATTTCCCTGGGCAATAAAACGATGGCTGGATTGTAGAGGCCCCGGGACAGGCCGAGATCATCAGCTAGAAAGTCACATTCTGAACACCTCCCGGAAGCCACGTCCGGGGTGCGCTTGCTTGGTTCCGCTCTGCATCCCAGGTAGGTATGCTGGCTGCCAGGTGCCGACAAGGACAGGGAAATGTGAAGGGTGAGCCCTTTGCCCCAGAGTCACCTATAGCAAACCTGCCCCGGCCTGACTTTTGTCAGTGGAAGATACAGGAAAAGTCTACAGATCAGTCAAAAATGAAGTTCAGATTTCTGCATCTTATGTATTCAAATTTTCTTCGAGCTGATTTAATGGAGTGAGAAGCAGAATAGCTGCCCTGTCTTCACCAGCAGTTTGCGTGCTGGGAAGGTTCAACTGTCAGAAAGCAAAGCAAAGCCTTTCCACAGAACACCTCCGAGCGACATGTGTGAGCACACATGCCACACGGGGCCCGGCTTCCCTGCCTCAGAAGCGTGGTGGTTCTTCCAGAAAGGGAGGGGAACCAAATCAGAGACCAAAAATGCATACAGAATTCTTTTATTTAACTTAAACCATGTAGTACTTTAACTACTAGAAAAAAGCAGAGTAAGAGAAACTAAAGTTGCCTTAGCTTCAGCCATTCAAAATAGACAAAGTTTCTTTTTCTTTTTTCTCATAATGTAAAGAATCCAGAGTATATCGCAGTAACAGGAATAAATTCTTACAACAGAATATACAAAAACATTTTGAAATTTTTTTCATCTACTGATTTTTTTATATAAACAGAGGAATTTATTTTTAGGAATAATTTATACACAGAAAGTCATTTTATGTAACAAATTGGCCATGTTATTACCTTTTTTTTTTAACTTTTTTAAAAAACTTTTTTTTTTTTAAACAAGAAAACTCAGAAAATGCATTATTTGCGATGCATCCATTCCATTGCGCCTTCTGGTTTGATTCTTTTTTTTTTTTTTTTTTTGTCCCAGAGGTAGACATACTCTGGCAAACCTCTCACCTCAACCTCACCGGCTAGAAAGCAGACGGGTGTCTTTGCCAAGCATCTATTCCACCCGTGGGTGTGTCTCTGCAACGCCCCACATCTGAATGAACAGTTGCACGCAAAAAAAAACCTAATTGTTTCTGGACCTTTCTCCCATGTAGTGCAAAACATCCAGATGTTTCTACCGATGGAGATTCTGTGGAGAAGTAGAGACATGGCCAGTAATCCATTGGGAGCTAGAGGAAATAGAGTCCAACTGAAACACATTTTTGTGTGTGTGTCGTGTTTACTTAAAAGGACTTGTTTTGGACTAGAAAAATGTGTCTTCGGTGTTCTGCCTTAAATAAAATAAATAGGGTCTCTTCCTTGTTCTAACAAAGCGCCAATCACGACCTGAGGCAAGTAAGCGAACGGCCCGTGTGCGCCAGAATCATCATCGTTCGTGTGACAAGTCTGCGGGCTGCGCTCACTGTGAAGCCATCAGCTGTGCCCTCAAGGCCTTCCCTGTCCAGGCAGCGCACGACAGCGGCAACGAGCAGCCCAGCCCGCCGGAGGCTCCCCAGCACCATGGGCACCGCTGGGCTGCCACACCGCGGCTGTGTCCTTGGCCAGTGAGGTTCCTTCAGTCTGTTAGAGTAGCTACTCTCCCAAGGGAAATGGCCAGTCAAAGATGAGCCCCTTCCCAACCAGACGGTTCTGGAAGACCAAGACACTGAAGATACAGAACTACTTCTTAAATCATCTTTCCTTTTTATAAACTAGGGCACAAAGCATTGGGGGGAAAAGAGGGTGAACCACGGCCTGGGTCAGGGAAAAATCTTTTTTT